TACATATGATTGGCGTAATAAATGTAGTGGGAGAACGCGAGCTAGAATAAAGAAAGAGCCCTTGCAAGCATCTTAGCGCTACCGTKGTTACCACTAAAAACAACGATATTGCCTTGTCGCACGCGTCTCACGCCTTGGCAGGGCCGTACACGCCTAGGTGCTTCGCCCTACTCACTCGTTGCGTGGAATACGCAACACCTTCTATATTTAAACATATATAGAGATTTTATATTTTATTAAGACTTTATTTTTCAAACAAATTCTTCGAGTATAAGTTGATGGTTATTATTTGTAGATGTTGTCCAGACATAAAGACGGTTTATTTGCTGATAAGAGCAAAGAAACAGCAAGATCCGTATACTCGATTCAAAGATTATTTCAATGATGTTGTGAGTAAGATTACGAAGTTTCTACTAATTATTGTACCAATGAAACAAATCATCGATATAACGGTGTAAATTTAAATTTTCAGATTTTTGACAGATTAAAGAGAGAGCAGAAAGATGTCGAAAAAAAGATTATTCTGATAGAAGGAGACATGAGTCAACTGAATTTAGGATTATCAGAAAAAGACCGCATACGCATTCAAGATACTAATTTGATTTTTCACAGTGCAGCATCCGTACGATTCTTGGATAATATTCGTTTTATAGTAAACACAAATATTAGAGGAACAAGGGATTTGCTTTTGCTTGCCCAGGGGATGAAAAGTTTAGAGGTGTTTAATCGTATTATATATTATAAACGATCTATATATAATCACGTATATTAAAGCATTATTTCCAAAGAAATCTATTTATTTAGACATCGGATTTAATAAAAAAATATTTTGTCTTAATTTTATAATAAATTTCTTCTTCAGGCCTTTGTTTACATATCAACGGCATATTCACATTGCATATATAAAAGAATTGAAGAAAAATTCTACAAGCCGCCTATAAAGACGGAAGACATAATTAAATTGGTAGAGATTTTAAGCGAAGACAAATTGGATTTAATTACCCCAAAGTAATAAAAAAAAAGAATATTGCATTTTTCTTAAAGCTAACAAAAATAGTTTAGAATATTCGCTTATCTTACAGGCTACTTGGTAATTGGCCTAATACTTACGCATATTCGAAGGCAATCTGTGAAGATACTGTACGGCAATATTCCAATGGAATTCCATCTTGCATCCTTAGGCCGTCTATTGTTGCTTCAACAGAAAAGGAACCAGTTGCCGGTTGGATCAATAATATTTATGGAGTAACAGGATTTGCTTATGGTTCAGCGATGGGTGTTTTACGCACGATGCAATGCAATAAAAGGCTTATTTGCGACATAATTCCTGCTGACTATGTTGTTAACAACATTATTGCTGCTGCATGGGACGTTGCACAAAAACGGTCACTTTTTTTCATTTTTAAATAATCTCTAAAATGAATTGCTAGTTTTTTTTCTAAAAGTAACATTTACAGCAAATAAAAGTGATCTTTTATTGTAGGTCTATACTAAAGAGTATTAGTTCCTCAAATGAAAAAACCAATGATATACCAACGGAAAAAGATATTCCAATTTATAATGTTGTTTCCTCTGTTCAACAACCAATTAGTTGGGCTAATTTAGCAAAAACTGTGAGAAAAGTTGGTATTAAATATCCGTCGAAAAGCATATTATTTTACCACTCGTTACAGATGGTTTCAAACTATTATGTCAATTTTCTTTTCACAATTTTTTTGCACTGGATACCAGCTACTATAGTGGACTCGTTAGCTTATCTCAGCGGAAGAAAGCCAATGTAATATCTGACGATGTTTAAATTTACAAGCGATTTAATAATCATCGGTAGAGATCAACATTATCAAATAATTGTATATTTTTCAGATTGATTAACATTTTTAGAAAAATGGAAAAGATGAAACATGTAACGTGTTATTTTACACTTAATGAATGGGAATTCAGGAACGATAACGTTTTAAAATTATGGGACAAATTATCAGACGTCGATAAACATAAATTTTTCTTTAATGTTGCTGATATTGATTGGCAGTGTTTTTATGATACTTACATGAAAGGAATTCGAGTTTATTTTGTGAAAGACCCGATGGAGACGTTAGAAGATTCAAAAACTTATTATAAAAAGTAAATGTCTTGTAATATTCTTTTTATACAAATTATTTTTTTCTCCTTTTTACTTACTCAATTTTTGTATTATTTTTTATTTACAGGTTGAAAATAGCTCATTATACTGTGAAATGGTTGTTTTATGCATTAATCCTTTGGATCTTCTACTCCTTATTAAAATCACTTTTTTGTTCTGTATTTTTTCGCTGACAATCTGTGCCAAAAAACAAAAAAGTGATCTTTTCCTATTTTTTTTAAATTTTCTTTTAATTTTTTTTTAATATTTATTTTATTTATTTTATTAGGAAAAAAATTTTGTAACGCAATTTTTTGTGAATATTTGAAATCGTTTTCTCTATGGTTTTTACAAACACACACAAGCCAGATTTTGGATACTTTGATTTAAAAGTTTTATAAAAATAAATAAAGTATAAAATTTTTTACGTAAAACGCAAATTTTACTTTAAACTGTCATAAATTTTAAAATTTCCTAAAATTCAAAATTCCAGCTAAAAAAACTATAACTACTGTATTATTCTACAAAAATGTTTCTCAATTTTGTACATCAATTAAAATTTACAGAAGAAATGATGCTGATCGTAGAGCAACTTTTTTTTCTTAGTGTTGTGAAACACATTATCTTTTATGTAGTTATTTTTTTAAAATTAAGTAAAATAAGATTTTTTATTAAGTTTAAATACCAATAAACAATGTGTACATTCTATTTTTATTAATTTTTATTGTTATCCTTTCAAAGAAAAAATTTTTTTTGTAGCGCATTCTTAACGCTCCTAGACGTATGTAAGGCTTCAATGAGGTATTCAGTCATATTTTCGTATAGAGAGGGGAAAGGGCTAAACAGGAATGTAAGTATTATATTATCTAAAACTAGCGAGTTATAGTCGCGTTTCTTGAAAAATTGTTTGTAGCTGTAAGTTTTGTATTTAAAAATTTTTGAAGTTATACTTTTCTTGGCGCGTTTGGGAAAAAATAATATGTGTGAATTTTTATGATGCGGTTGCATTACAACCAAAACTAACTTTCGTAAGCGATCGAAGTTTTCTGATATTTACGATGCGCGGACAAGGCGATTTCAAATCTACGGCACAAAGAAATTTAATATATCTCCTTTACAGCTAGTGGAGACTTTTATCTATATTCTGATAATATTTTAATACTAACAGGCCAGTTAATAAGAGACAAATGAGAAAATTTTAGGTCTAAGGCACTTACAAATTGATACAATCGTAATTCGACGATGCTGAATCAAATGATGCTAATTTTTTTGCAATACAATGGGCTATTTACGAAAAAAAGGGTAAAAAATGGCCGTATCTTAGAATCTAGGTATTTAGTCAAAAAAAGTTTCAAACAAAAGATGTGCAAAATTGAAAAATACATAAAAAATGTTCTAAAGTATATCTTCGTATTTTCAAAAATAAGCGAGAAATATTGATAAAATTGATCTTAGGAGTAGGGGACAAGTCCCGCCTCTTCGACGGTCTTTACACGCGATCGAGCTAGTTTGTGCGTTATCTTGGGGTCTTCGCTCGTGAAGCGAGTAGGAGTGAGGAAAGAAATGGATATTTCTCTCTTTCTATTTGTTCATGCGATAGCGATTATTTTTGTTTTATCCATCGATTGTTGAGCGTTCTTTATTATATATCAATGATATTTTTTCATGCTTTAGCGAGGATTTTTCGTCTTGGCCATCGAGTGTCGAGCGTTATGTATACGAGTGCGAGTGAGACAAAAAACCGATATTTCTGTCTTTCTATTTTTTCATGCTTTAGCGAGAATTTTTGTCTTGGGCATCGAGTGTCGAGCGTTATGTATATCTATATATATATCGGCGTATAAGCGCGACATTTTTAAATCGAATCTTGATGCTTATGGTACGCCGTTTTTTTATTTATTGTCAAAAATAGTGAACTTTGATTAAAAAAAAAACAATAATTCATTTTAACAGAAACTATTATTATTTAGTTATGAGTAAAAATAAGGAATCGTTTTGTATCTCGCCAGAAAATTATTTTGCATAAATAATTAATATAAATTTTTTTCTTTACCAAAATTTATTTGTATATTAAATTGAATACGTATTCTTTTTAAGATGAAATTTTTAATTTAATAATTTTTCGTAAAAATAATGAATTATTTTGTATCTCGACATAAAATTAATTTGTATAATTAATTGATATATATTTTTTGCTTTACAAAAATTTATTTGCATATNTATTATGTATTTAAGAAAATTGTAAATTAAAGATTTGTTGTCTCCTAAATATTTATTTGTGTATCAAATCTAATACATATTTCAAAAAGAAGAATTTTATATCTACACATAAAATTAATTCAAGATATACAGGAAAAGATGTTCTAAAAACGTGGAATTTATTTTTTGTCTAGACATTATTTTAATTCAATTTTATTATGTTATAAGAAAACAGAAATGCATTTTTATTTAGCTTCAAAGTCATAAAAATTGTACGGAAAAAATTGAACTTTTGCTAAGTTGCACGCTAGCGTAAGTAGTATCGTCTCTGCTTCTCACGCGTGTAGTTACTTCTCTATTCTTCGTGAGGGAATTATTTTTTTTTTAAGTTTATCTATCCTTAAGTTATGCAAATTCTTTTTACATATAATTAACGAACGTGGCCTGACAAGGATTTCCTTGGGAATTAGTGTTGCACTCAACGCGTTAACGATCTATGTACGTTCCGAAAAGACTGTAGACTCTTGGCGTATCTTCGATATACGCGCCTCAATCATTTTGAGAATATCGAAGTGAGAATATTATGTCGTTGTGAGAATATTTAGAATATTTAATTTGGCTAGCGCGCTTCATCACTTCCTAAACCGTTACTAAACACGCACTGCTGTATCATTAACCCTTACGCGACGTACAGCGTGATTTGACGCTCAGCTATAGACGCTTGTTGTAAGCGGACAGCGTCTTTCGGCGTCGTTCACTTGTTATCAAAATTTGCTCAATAATATCCAGTTGTTCTCGACGCGCTAGTAATACATGCTTCTTTTGCAGATATTTTATTACATAATCGAATATTTTATCCGTAAATTTTACCCTGATCATGGACAAATGGACGACGAATATAAGTACAAAAGACAAGTGCTAATGTTATTAAGCTACCATTCTGCTGAGCTCACGAAAACAAAAAGAAATGATGTAAAACGGGAACACTAATACAAAAACCAAATGCTATATTAAACTATAATCACGTTATGGGAGCAATCGATAACACCGACATGATTTTTAATTCCATTTATACTGTTCGTAAGACTTACAAATGGTAAAAGAAATTCTTTTTACACATGCTGGATCTTTTGATTTACAATGCTTACACACTGCACAAATTTTACTTTTAATAACAATATAACATTTGCGAGCATTTATTTACGTCTTATTCGAGAACTTCTATTTAAATATCTAAATAAATAATTTGGAAGAATAAGTCTTGTGGCCAAACTGAATCCAAAGATAATTCCATACGACTGGATTCAAGATATTTTCCAGCCAAATATAACAATCCCAAAGCAAAGCGATAGGACGGTCAGCGTAAATGTGTAGTTTGCAGGAAACATAAGAAGCGAGCCGAAACACGAATCGAATGTAGAGATTGTAACGCTGGATTCTGTATTAAACCCTGTTTTAAATTATATTAAACAGGGGAAAATTGTTAAAAATTGTTAAAGTTTATCTTTATTTAATAAAAATCGTAAAAGATTACTAAAATTGTAATTAATAATACTATTCTTTGATCGGCACGCCAGCAAACAGCCTCAAAAAAATGACTAACAAAATCAACTCTTCACACCGCGTTAGGAACGACTCTCGTTTCGCGTTGCCCGCGCGTTCGATCTTCTACTTCGAGCGCCATTCATTTCCGCCGCGAAAGGGTTAAACAAAGATAATATTCCCATTTTTTCTGGTTTATTCTATTTATAACATACAGTGAAAATTTATATTAAAAAAACTAGGAATATCTTCTACAATATTTTCAAAAGCATTGATTTTTTGTGAGTATTTGAATTAAAACTTTTTTTGGAGATTAGCTAAGGTATGTATTATTATATATTAGTTTTTTAAGGGTTAATGAGGTAGGTATTATGATTTATTAGTTCCAATTCGTTTCATTTCTTCTTTGTAGTGATCATCAATTAAGGTTAAAAATGAATAAACTGAATAACATGCTTTGCAATTTTTTACGCCTGAACCAAACGATGACAATTTTCGGATTTAAATAAAAAAATAAAGAATAATTACAATTGTTCTTTTAATCCTGACATGGAAACGGAAAAACGTAAGTAGAATAACAATATTCTGTTCAGTTAAAAAATAGTTAACTAAATAATATATATTTATTATATTATTTTTTACCTCAATTTATGAAGCTCTGTATTTCTCTTTATATTTCTTATATTTTGTTCATAAACTACTTTTTTAAATTGTTTTAACTAAATATGCTGCTCTACATTTTTTGTTCAAATCAAAGACTGTAATACACCTAAGAAAAAAAATCCTTTTTAGCGTCGGATCTATGCATATACATTTCATCTTCCAATAGTTAACGATATAAAGATTTCTTTTAACTAATGTCTCCTTCGTTGAGACTTTATGTTAATTATTATGCATATTAAATGCAGCTGCAGTTACGAGGAATAAAAAAGACCAGAATTTGTTAAAAGTTAAAAAGAAAAATTTTGCTTCTGATAGAAACAAATATTTTATAATTCTCTTGTGAAAAATATTTATGTAAATCATTAGAAACCTATTTGTCCCCCGCATAGATTGTTAAATATTTTACTCAAAAAGAGAGCTCATTATTTTTAACAACGATAAACAGAAGCCGAGGATATAGAAATCATTGAAGATTTTGAAAACATCATCTTTTTATTGACACGGGGAAGAAACCATGTGCATTAATATTTTATCAGAAAATTTGAAAAATAAATGCATCTTAGTTACTCATAAATTATTGTCTATAATTATTCTTATTAAACAATAATCTGTTGCAGCTTTTTGACAATTTAAACTTTTGTTTCAGTTTTTGAGATTTCTAAAACTTATGCAGAGAAGTGTAATGTCTACTACTATCGTATAAAAATTTATCTT